TTGAGAGAGGAATGCACGTGGGTTCACCCCTCACCTCTGGGTGCCCCGCAGTCCGATAAGAGGCTGGGGTTCTGCCACCTTCCCACCCCGCACTCCCACCAGGGCAGCGACCCTCCGCCCACAGTCCCCTGCACTGGGTGGGGGACTTAAATCCGAGCAGGGGTCAGGCCAGGTAGAAAGGCGGCAGACTCCCCCGGCTGAGGTGTCTGCCTCGCTGAGAAATAAACCGCAAGGGGTTTAAAACGAATACATTTCAGGATTCCTTATTGTCCTTCTGAGGAGAAGGCCATCGGCGTTTCAACAAGGACAGCCAGAGTCTGGGCTTGACTGTGGGCAGCGAGGACGGGGTGACCGTGTTGCTCCTGCCGACCCTGAGCTCAGTGTGTCCCCCGTCGCGTGTCCCCTCTTCGTCTCCCTTCTCTGTCCCTCCAGCCGTCGGGGCGGAGGCTGTCCACTCTCTGGTTGACCTTGTTCCCGGGTGGTTTCTGCGTTCGGACGCAACCGCAGGAGGGGCTGACGACCCCTCCCTCTGGTTACCCGTCACTGCTGCTCGGAAGTGCACCCGTGTCCACGTTGTGTCCTGCAACCTCACTGCCTTCATTTCCACGTTCTCACGGGATTTGGTGGGTCCCAAACAGTCCTACGTAGCCCGTCCTGCCGTCTGCAAGCAGTGCGAAGGCTCCCTCTCCCCCGATTTGCTTGCTGTTTGTCTCTGTCTCACGTGTCCGCTGTTGCTCGGACCCCCAGTGCTCTGGGGCGGGTGGGTGGTGAGGGTGGGCGTCTGTCTCCCTCCTGATCGGAGAGAGGGAGCTTTCGGCTTCTCACCGTTGTGTGTTGTGTAATGGTGTGCCTAGGAATTACGTTTTTTTAAAGACTTATTTATTTTTAGAGAGAGTGGAAGGGAGGGAGAAAGAGAGGTACAGAGACATCAGTATGTGGTTGCCTCTTATGCGCCTCCTACTGAGGACCTGGCCCACAGCTCAGGCATGTGCCCTGACCAGGAATTGAACCAGCGAACGTTTCCTTCCCAGTCCGCCGCCCGGACCACTGAGCCATACCAGCCAGGGAAGGAATTATGTTTTTAATAACACATTTTTATTAATAATTATAACAAAGCCCTGGCTGGCGTAGCTCAGTGGATTGAGCATGGGCTGGGAACCAAAGTGTCGCAGGTTCGATTCCCAGCCATGGTATATGCCTGGGTTGCAGGCAATGGCCCCCAGCAACCGCACATTGATGTTTCTCTCTCTTCCTCCGTCCCTTCCCTCTCTAAAAAGAAATAAATAAATCTTTAAAAAAATAATTATAACAAAATTGGATGCAATTTATACACTGTGCTCTGATAGATTTTAGTATTGTAGATGAACAGCATTAAATGTGAATTTTTGTGTTAATGCCAGTTTCTCTTTAAAAGCAATTCCTGCTAATATAATCTGTGGGGCTAAGGATAAAACTTTTTCAGGACATTTGGTATACCTGGAGGAACAGAACCAAAAATGAAAAAAAACAAAATAGAACACAGGAACTACCTTCTGGAGGGTGTGTCCCTTATAGTCCAGACTCCCCTCTCTAGGGCAAGAGTTCTAGGAGTCCATCTGCATCAGTGACCAGATGGCGTTGTTGTGAGAGGCTGTGTTTGGCCTCAGTTAATTTTTTTGACGACTTTCCCAGAGCAGTGGCCCATTTCCCGACGGGTGATTTACCAGCCCACCTGCCCACACCTGTAGAATGTGGACCAGTTTTTCACCAAACCTGCGTTCCCCACCCTCCCTATTCCCCTGATCTCACCCAGAGCGAATGTTTTTCTTTCCCACATGAAAAGAGTCCACAAAGGGAAACGTCCCGACGTGGAAGACGTGAAACAAAACGGCAGAAGCTCTAAGAGGCGTCAGAGCCGCCGAGTCCAGAGAGTGTTCAGGGCGGTGGAGGGACGTCCCCACGGGTGTCCCCCATCCAGGGGGGACCATGTGAGGGGGACCGAAGGGTAAAGGTGTGAGAATAAAAGCAGAATTTTTATAAGTAAATTCTCTTTTTGGGTCGCCCCTTGAGTATATGCAGCCAAATGCATCCACGGGAGTTCACATTCACGTGCAACACAGGATGTAATTACCATTCTAAGTTATTTAAATTTCATTCCTTTATGTTTTATATTTTAAAATGGTCTGTGATAGGAATGAAAAACAATAAATATCCTCCAAAAGATGTGGAAATGTGTCCCCCACTCTGGAAACGTGTATACGTTAGACCTTTCAGATAATTTAAAGCACAGGGTGGAAAGGCCGTGAGCTTCTGCCCTGGGTGACATGGACCCTGTGGGAGGGGCTGAGCAGAAGGGAGGTGAGGGGGAAGTACATGCTGGCTGCTGTGCGGAGCGCGGCCTACAGGGGGCAGCAGCGGGAAAAGGGACTCAGAGCCCAGGGGCCTGCCTTCCTCAGAGGGTGGTGCTGGGGGCGGGCACCTGGCTGGTTCAGGGAAGTGTGGGCCAGTGGGGGGCTTCTGAGCAGGTTCCCACAGGAGAGCCCGGTGCTCCCTACTGGCGAGGGATAAGGTACCTGCATTACCGCCCCACGTTTCATGGCTGATTTCCATGGTGGGATCCAAGGTGAAGAGACCCCCAGGGGACATTTGCAGAGGAGGCTCTGCGGTTCCCAGTGATGGCCGTGGTGCCCGGGTCGGCCCTGGGCAGGCAGCCTCTCCACATGGAACCCTCCTCCTCCTTCCAGGTGGTCCCTGCTGCCCAGCCCCTGCTGGCCTCTCTCTGTGCACAGCAGGTCAGGATGGGGAGGTGCCTGGTGCCCCGACTGCCCGCCCTCCCTGTGTGCCTCGCCATGGTCCAGCTGCTCAGCCCCTGCTCAGGTAGGACCGGCTGTGCGTCTGTGTGTGCGCATCCTTTCCCTTCGGGCCCAGTCAGAACCCTGCACCCCTCCCACCACTGCAAGGCCTGTCCATACTGCACCTGCGTGAGGACTGAGTTCCCGTCTAGGTGTTTGTCACCTCACCCTCCCTGCCTGGGACACCCCCTCAGTCCCAGCTCCCTGTGACAAACCCCGTCTTCTGATGACCAGCTGAGTTTGCTGTGGTCGGACCCCCCGAGCCCATCCTGGCCATGGTGGGTGAAGACGCAGACCTGCCCTGTCACCTGTCCCCGGAGATGAGCGCTGAGAGCATGGAGCTGACATGGGCAAGACTCAGCCGCAGGCAGGTAGTGCACAGGTATGCACACGGGCAGGAGGACACACCGGCAGAGGAGTTTCAAGGACGAACTTTGATTTTACGAGAGGACGTCACTTCGGGGAAGGCCGCTCTGCAGATTCACAACGTCAGAGCCTCTGACAGAGGAACCTACGTGTGTTATTTCCAAGATGGAGACTTCTATGCAAAAGCCCAGGTGGAGCTGCAGGTGGCAGGTGAGGCTCAGGCTTGTTCCAGGCTCCTTTCCATGGGCGGGGGCAGAGGCTGCAGACCGACCCCAGAGCACGTGGGCTGCTCACCAGCATCCGCCCCCCTTCCTCCATCTCTGCTCCTCTGAGGCCCATGACACACCCAGGGGACCCCCGGGGTGACTTCCTCCTGCACCCAGTACAGAGTCCCCCACACCGCCCACCTGTCTCAGTGGGGAGTGGAGGTGGGGGATGGGAAGGCGGAGAAGACCTCTTCGCAGTGGGTGGCACATGGGTGTTTGGGTTCAGCATGTTCCAGACCAATACTGTGGGGCCCCAGGGGCCCGCTGTGGTGGGTCCAGGAAGCTGAGCTGCAGGGACAACACCTGTGGGGCCCACGTCCCCCACCAAACCCCCGGGAACACAGCTGCAGGTGAACAGGTTGTGTCCGTCCTCGGTGCAGCGAGGGAGGACCTTCCCCTGGGGACGGGGACACCGGGGTGTCTCAGAGAGGGGGCGTCAGGGAGGACGTGGTGCGGTACGGGGGGATGTGGAAGCAGCGCTGGGCTCTGGGTGGGACGCAGTCCGGATGGTGCAGGTGTCACTGGTCACTCACAGCCGGCAAAGGGAGGTGGGTCACTGCACACGGTTCCTGTTTCCTCTGTACTGTCACCCCACCCTTGAGTGGCCTTGACGTGGACCTGACCCACCCCAGTGAGGAAGCGCCTTGTCCGAGGTGCTGCCCCACGAACGTGCCCGTGTCTGGGCTTCAGGGGTGCAGTTCGAGTTCCCCGGACACAGCCCTGCCCTGTGGCTTCCAGTGTGTGGGGGCTGGTGGAGCAGGGACGGTGCAGCCCCCTGGCCTTGTCCCCGCACGGCCCCTCCTCAGCCTGCTGTCCCTTCCTGGAGACCTCCCCTCCCCCGACGGAGCCCTCCCTGCAGGACTCTGTGTGTTCAGGTCCTCAGAGGGCTTCCTCCCCCTCCGTGTGTTCAGGGGGTGAGGGCAGGTGGTAGTAACTCCCCTCTTCCTGGCCCCGGATCCACTGTCTTCCGTGGGAAAGGTTCCTCTCTGCGCAGCCTCGCTATGGACACTTCAGGGTAGACCCTGGAGGGAGAGCCGAGCAGCCTGGTAGTGAGGGCAGCAGCAGCCTCCTGAGGGGCCGTGCATACGAGTTCCCGCTTGGGTGGTTGCAAGACACCGTGTGTCTCCTCCTTCTCCCAGAGGGCCACGTCCCCACAGGACAGGCAGCGTTGATCTAGCACTAGGGTGCGACCCACTTAGGCTGAGGGATACCACCTATGTGCTTGCCCAGGGAGGGGTGAGGGGCTGTGCCAGGGACCAGCCTGTCTGGGGCAGGGGGGAGGGGAGGCTGCGGCAGTCTCTAAGGGGACTTGGGGGGAAGCAGCCTCTGCTCTGGCCCAGAGCCCCCTGGATCCAGCACGAGGGTCCAGCCAGGGTCAGGCAGTGGCCCCATCGGGGATCAGTCTCTGCTGCACAGCACACGCTGGGAGCAGCTCCTGGTGAGTCCCTGCTGGGCTGGTCAGTGTGGGCGCCCCTCCCTGGTGAGGACACCCCACCAGTATAGAGGGCTCCCCACGATTCAGCTCACTTCTCCCCAGCGCTGGGCTCTGATCCCCACATTGACATGAAGGGCTACGAGGCTGGAGGGATCCGTGTGAACTGCACGTCTGCCGGCTGGTACCCGCAGCCCCAGATCCAGTGGAGAGACGCCAGGGGACAGAGCTTGTCCTCGGAGGCAGCATCTGCGGCTGCAGAACCCCAGGGCCTTTATGCAGCCTCAGCCTCTGTGATCCTGGAAGCCGGCTCTGGGGAGGGGGTGGCCTGTGTCATCAGAAACCCCCTGCTGGGCCAGGAGAGGTCAGCCAGGCTGTCCATCTCAGGTGAGTGCCCTGCCCCCTGCCCAGGGCTCTGAGGTGCCCCTGGGGGAAGGCTGCTGATGTGGGGCCTCTTGCCTGAAGCGGTTTATGTCACAGACACCTTCTGAGCTCTTCCTGCCACACACGGAGCCAGGCAGTGGGACGTGGGGGCAGATGGGAAAGTTCAGCAAACACACCAGGAGGGGAAATACATACAACCCAAATCTCAGTGAAAGGGGTAATCTCCTTACAACATAAAGGAACATGGTGGATAAAAGAGCAAAAACGGGAATCATCAGTTTCTGGGAAGGTAAAACTCCCAGGAGGATGACAAATCTGATGGAACAGGGAACTATTTCCCCCTGGGAATTTGGCAGCAGCAGGACAAACGAGGAGGTGGGCGCCCTCTGGTGGCGGGCTGTGGGGAGACAGCCCCGTAGCCGTCTGTGCTCCCCGTGTTGGATGGTGTTGGGGTGGGTCGGCCCCCGTGCTGTGGGGGCGCAGGGCCGTCTGCACCCGAACTGCTCACTGACTGATGCAAACGCACTTCTGGGGACCACCCCACGGGCCAGCCTGCAGCGGTGGGACGTGACCCCTGTGACCGGGTATGTTTAAACCAGTGATCCCCGGGACAAAGGGCAGAGCCTGGGGGTGCCCACCAGAGGGGACCCTGTGTGCCTTGGGGTGCTGCCCTGGGGGAGAGACACGGGCCTGCGGGCTGTGCTGGAGCGGGCAGGTCGCCGAGACACAGGGCGAGACCGACGGCATACACAGCAGCCGCATAGGGGCCTGATTTCACTGTAAACAAGATGAAATAAAATATTTACTTTTCAAAACTGAATGAAACCTGCGTGGCACTCACCCTGCGTCAGGCACTGCATAAGCACTAACTTAATGCTCTCACTGATCAGGACGCAGCAACAGACGGTTACATCATTAGTTGAAGGTCACAGCCCTGGTCGGGCAGGAGACCCGGGACTGGAACCCAGTTCCCCCCAGTCCCAGAGTTTGTTCTTCATCACCCAACTCTGCTGACTGAGGGGGCAGGTAGTCGGGGCGGGGGTGCAGAGGGGACGTCAGTGACACTGTGTGTGCGTCCTCATGCTCCCTCTCATCCCTTGGGGGGAGAGACGTTTCAGGAAAACCGTCCTGACTGTGTGGCAGTGCGAATCTGGGCACTCTGGGGACAGAAAGGTCCCTTCAGGGGCTGACGCCATCCCTTTGCAGGTCCCTTCTTCAGGAACATACAGCCTTGGGTGGTGGTGCTCGCGGTGATGGTGCTGGTTCTTGGGGAGCTCCTGGTGGGGGGGGCATGCTTGTTGTGCCAACGGCGGAAGAGGATCCAGGCCCTGTCCCAGGAGAGGGAGAGAGAGGAAGCTGAGAGAGGAGCAGCGTGGGCAGAGCTGCAGCAGGAGCAGAAGGGAAGCGCCCAAGGTGAGGCCCAGCTGCAGGTGGTCGCCACCTCCCTGACCCGCCCACGCCCACAAACCACCTCCTCCTCTGCATCTCCTTGATGGGGCTTCCTTTTTGTCTTTATTTCCAGAGACACTTCAGGACGTGCTCAGTAAGTCCCCATCCCGGTCCCTGTGTGTCCTGGGGTCTGTGGTGACATTGTCACTGACTCCACGGGTGGTTCCCTGCAGGGCGGAGAAAGCCCAGGTACCGAGCACCTTTGGACTGGGTCCTGAATCAAGACCTGTGTGATGGGTGAGTTCAGCCCCTTCCCTCACCCCTGACCGCCCAGGGGAGGAAATGAGGACACTAGTGGCACCAGGCAGGGGTCTCTCTGAGGGGAAGGGGGCTGAGGTTTCTCTCCACTAGGGGACACAAGGCCCGGACACCCCCAGAATCCCTGGAAAAATACCCTCCTCTGGTGAGGTCCCGGGGCTGCACTGTTGTCAGTGGGACGGGGGTGGGGGTTTCCTGCAGCTCAGGTGAGGGGCGTGTGCTGCTTGTACTCTCGTCCTCTGACAGCTCAGGGACACCACCCACGTGACAGATACAAAGATCAGACAGTCGGGAGCCCAGCGAGGTTACAGACCTCGCCCCTGCTGCCCGCACAGCCGCTCTGGTCCCTCTGGTCAGGAGGGGCCACCTCAGTGGACACATCACCCCGGGGCTCCCCACCCTCGGGCCCCGCAGGCCCCTCTGCCGGACTCACTGTCTCCGTATGAATGATCCTCAGGCATCTCAGGAGCCGGACCAAGTCACGTCGTCTGGTACTCTCCTGTCCCCCTGCCTGGTCCCTTCTGCGAGGGCAGCCTGGGCGCCCAGGGCCTCCTGTGGACCCTGGACCTGGTTGCCAGCTGGGACCCTCACAGCGCACAGCACACGCCACGCCTGCCTTCCAGGATTGAGGCCGAGGCTCCCTCCGTGATTCACTTTTTTGAGCCACGAACAGGATGTACTTCAAATTCGGGCAGGGGGTTCCCAAATCTAGCTGGAGGATGTTCATGAGGTCCACGGGACTGGAGGAGAACGACATTGTCATCTGTGAGCACGAGGCCCCGGGGACCCTGGCGGAGCAGCCCCACAGGACGCTGCCGCGCTGGCGGAGCGAGCTGTGTGGCTACTGAGAAGCACAGGGGCCCAGACATAGAATACGTGGGCCCGTTTGTCAGACGCCTTGTTAAGTGGAGGAATCCAGTGCCTGCTTGTTACCCGCACTACAATGACAAGAAAGGGCTTTTAAACAACCCCCCGTGGACACGGAGGTAAGGGGAGAGGGTGCGGGACCGCAGAAGATGGAGAGTGAGCGACAGTGTGCTCACTGCCGTGTAGTTCCAATGAGCCTGCATGTCCGCTGGCCCCGGGGGCGCTGCAAGGAGGCGCCGCCTGCGACAAAGCCCCGAGATGCCCGGGAAGGAGGGACACGATCTGACTCTGCAACAGGGGTCCGGGCGGTCCGGAGAGCCCAGGTCTGTGCTGTTCCTGGGACAAGGAATTTAATCCGGGCTCACTCTCCTCCCCCGCCCCCCTACCCCAGAACACGAGGGGCCGCTCTCTGAGGGGTCCACTCAGGAAGGCTCTGCACTCGGGGCCCCCGGGCACCGGTGGACTGTGTGAGATTTGGTGTCATTAGTTTGTTTCCTGAAGTGTCGTCTCCAGGCCCACACAGCTGACCCCCAGACTGTGCGGGCAGCAGAAGGAACAGAGCACAAAGGGCAACGCAAAGCCCGATGGTTGTGCCCGGAACGGAGCGCGGGCGAAAGCCGTCCACACGGGGTGGGGGGCCGTCGGCACCCGGATTTCTCATGTCACAGGTCAGCTCCGCCAAGGCCGCCAACCCTATTTTCACTCCCTGGGTGGGAAACACCGCACCAACTCTGAGCCTGACGCCCACGCTGGCTCGTAGCAGAGGTGTGAGGGTTTCCTGTCCCTGTCACAGAGGGGCCTGGCTTCTGTTCATAAAGTCTGGTTTTGGGGGTCCCCAGGTCCTGAGTCCTCGGGTGTCATGAGGTTGAGTCCCATCCCTGTTTGTCGACGCGGTCAGGGGCCATGATGCCCGGCCCACGTCCTCCCAGCTGAGCTTCTGTGTCGTCCCCTGGGTTCGGGCGGCCTTCCAACCCCCCACCTGCAATTGGGGCCCCTGCGGGCGGCCTGAGCGTCAGAGCTCATGGGTCTGCCTGGCGTCCCCTTGGCAGTGCCCTCCGAACAAGAGTCAGCTCAGGTCACGTTCAGTCCCCCGAGGTCGCTCCCTAGAGTAGGACAGACCCTGGGGACACACAGACCCCTCCGTCCCAGCACAGCGTGCCCCCCACAAAGCCCTTGGCATTGGCATACCCGCGGACGGGGGTGCGGCCTCCCCGTCCCACTGGGCCCCCCTCCAGTGGGGAGACCCGCCGCCACCCTGGTGTCTCCGTGTGCGACCGCCACAGCCGTCCCCCACACCTGCACCAGCGTCCCTCGGATGCGGGGCCCCCAGGCGGGGTCATAGTTCAGTGTTTCAAGGTAGCTGACGATCCCCCTGCCACGGCTCGCTCAGACGGTAAAGCTGTTCTTCAAGGCGGTGGTTCCCATCCGTCCTCTGATTCTAAAGTGGGCTCTGGGGTCTGGGGTCTGGGGTCTGTCAGTGGTTTCTTACTTACTTGTGACCTGGTGCTGCTCCCCCCTTTGCTCTTCCTCTCGGTCTTCCTGATGGTTCATGTGTCCTCTTTTACGTTCCTTTCTCTAACCTGTCGCAGTGAGTGTGGTTGTTCGGCAGTCCTGGTCGGGAAGGTGCGTCACTGGGTGAGTGTCCTGCTGGACTCTCCCAGGTGAACAGACACCTTTCTTCTCGGGGTTTCTCTGCCCCGTCCCCGTGAGTGAGGAGCACACCGAGGTTTCAGTCAGCTGAGAGAGAGGAAGCGTTCTCCCAGGTCCCCTTCCAGAGACACAGCAGCCCCCGGGGCCGTCCTGCTCCCCGCTGGCGGTTCCGCCCGGGTTTGATTTCCAGTTTCCGCACGGATTCGGCGGCGGTCTGGGGTCCAGAGCACCCGGGGCTGACGGGGGCCCTCAGGGGCCCCCTGGGAACTCACTGTCACTTGTTCTTTGCTTTCACCAAACTTCTCTGTGACCCTGCGGAAGGACAAGGGTGAGACTTTAAATGTTGGGACACAAACTCCCTGGCTCCCCTCCTCCAGCCCCCTCCAACACGGGAAGGAACCAGGTGGTTCCCAACGGGACCTCCGCACACTCGGGCAGGTGTGCCCGCAGGTCAGAGTTGTTCCGCAGCCGCGAGGGGCCGCCTCCCGCCGGCCAGCAGGCCGCACCAGCACGCCAACTGACAGCAGGGGCGGGCGCGGTGGGGGGCGGAGGGAGCCAACCCTGTGCCCTGCTGGCAGGGGGGCAGACGGGCGCCCCCCCCGTGGGAACAGTGTGGGGGTCCTCGGGGAGCTGACGGGGGATCTGCCTCTGACCCAGCGACCCCTGCGGGGACCACACCCCAGGAACCCTGAAACCCCAATCCAAAAGCACCCTGCCCCCCACGTTCACAGCAGCACAGTTTACAAGAGCCCAGTGCTGGGAGCAGCCCAAGTGCCCACTAGTGAGCACCCTGTCCCGCCCCGCCCTGCCCTGGGCCTTGGGGGCCAGGGGGAAACACGTGGACGTCCGGGCCCCAGGGTCCCTCCTGTGCCCTCCTCCCTCCCGCTTCTCCCCCGTCTTTCCTGAGCTGTGAGCGGGGGCCACGGCCTCCCTCTGCAGCGGGCTGTGGGGTCTGTGCCCGCTGCCCCACCCTCCCTCACTGGCACCCCGGGCTGCCCCAGCAGAGGCAGGCCGCCCACTCTGGCCCTGGGGATGGAGCACTGGGGACGGTGGTCCCAGAGGAACCAAAGCAGGACATGGGCCCGTAGCAGGATGGGGAGGAGCAGTCCCTGGGAGGAAGGGATCAGGCACTGTGGACCTCGGGGACACCTAGGCCTGTGGCGCCCCTGAGTGTCCCAGCGGGCAGTGCCACTCTGTGCCCTCAGCGGTCTCATGAGACAGGTGATCAGACCCCTGCTTCCTGGGCCTGCTTCCCACTGCTCCCCGATAACTGCAGCCCACCCTCCCCAGAGTCCCCTCCATCCTCATGAACTCTGACCCCTGCCCTGGGCCCTCCAGCCTCAGACAGCCCCTGCTTGTACGGAGTCTGTGCCCAGGAACACGCCCCTCCTTTTCAGACTCCCCCAAGAAGACGACAGCCAGTGGGTGTGTTCCTTTATTTCAGAGGTCAGAGCACACACCTGTCCCCACACTGTGGGGGACCCAGGACATGGGCACAAAAATCGGAAAATGGGGCATCAGCCCAGAGGACACGGTCACAGCTGAGTTCGGGCTCCGTGTGCACCTACGCGTGCGGGTGCTCACACACGTGCACACGCACACATTCGCACAGGCACCCACACGCACACCTGTGGCACTGGCCATGGAGCGGAGGGCAGACGCCACGTGCCTAGGTATTGCAGCGGCGTTGATCCAGCAAGTGCGGGGGAGAGTGGGGCCCCGCTGGGCCCAGGGGAAGCGTTCCCAGGCGGGCGCAGGGCAGCCGTGCTCCACCCAGGGCTCCTGCCGCAGGTTGGCCCGGGGCCCAGCTGCCTCAGTCCCGGACGGTGCCCCTACTGGCTCCAGGTCCTGGGATCTCCTGAACGAGCCCCACATGCGGGCGCAGGTCCCGGGAGCAGCGAGGGGCACAGCGTCTTCACCCCTGCACCTGCGGGCCACCCACAGGTGACCAGCTCTCCACGGTGCTGGGGAGCACCGGGCCCAGGCTCCACTCCGAGTACCAGTAGTCTTTAATTTTTTAAATGATTTTATTTATTTCCTTTTTTAGAGAGAGGGGAAAGGAGGGGGAGAGAGGGGAAGGGAGGGAGAGGGAGACCAGGAGAGAAACCCTAGTGTTTGAGAGATACGAGGTTGTCACTCATGCAGCTCCAACTGGGGACCTGGCCTGTGTCCTGACTGGGAACCGAACCGGCGACTCCCAGGCCAGCGCTCAGTCCACTGCGCCACACCAGCCAGGACCGGGGCTGCACACAGACAGGCTTCGGTCCCCTGTGGGGCCCGGAGGGTCTGCCTCCCGGGTCCCATTCGATGAGCCGCAGCACACTGAGCTATCAGGGGCCTGAAAACACAAGCAGGGGTCCTCATGGGGGTTCAGCGCAGGGGCCGCCCCTAAGGACAGGGGCCCAGGACCCCAGGCTCAGGGGGCCGGCTCTGGTCTCAGCTCTGCCCTCACTGCTGGCTCCCCTGGCCTCGGTCCAGGCCCCGAGAGGACTGTGGGGGCCTCAGTTTCCCCACTGTGAACAGAACCCCACCAGGTCTGAGACCCCCTCAGGTCTGAGACTCCCCCAGCTCTGGGCCCTGGGCTCCTGTTTGGTCGACAGTCGGGCAGAGAGGGGCCCCTGGAGGGGGTGCGGCCTCCTCCCCAGGTGGGGCTGGCCGGCCCTGGACAGGAGGTCGGGTCAGGGCCTGAGCAGTTCTCGGGGAGGACCAGAGCTGCCCCCGCCCCAGGGGGCACTCACCAGGCTTTCTCCTCGGTCCCGGGGTCCTGTGGGCACAGACAGAGGAGTGTGGTCATGGGAGGCTGCCAGGAGGGTCCTCTCTGTGACAGGATGGCTTGGGAGGTGACGGACCCCTCCCCAGGCCAAGGACCCCACCAGGGAATCTGCAGGAGGGGGCCGGGTGTCCTCCATCCCCCTTCCCGGTTTTCCAGTTCCACAACGTCTGGAACCTTCCAACAACACTATGTCTCTCTGCACCCAGAACAGCCAGCACCCTCTAGCACAGCAGCCCCCCGAATCTTCACCCTGGCCCTGACAGACACTCCTGTGCCAGGCCAGGGGGACCTTGGAGACGGAGCTGACAGTGATTAATGACGCCTTAGGACCCCAAATCTACCAGGCCCTCAGCCCCAAAGGCCGGGGTGCAGCAGGGATGGCACCGAGATGGCTTCCAGGCTGTTCTCCCTTCTGGTCACCCTGTGGGGGGCTGAGCCTCAGCGGGGAGAACCTGGAGGACCTGGCAGGGGCCCGGCCCTGTCGTCCCGCAGCGCCCAGACCGCCCCCAGCCCGGGCTGTCACTCACTCTCCTCCGGGGGCTCCAACTCGGAGCGCGCGCTGCTGGAGGGCCTGCTGCACACGGGCTGGAATCTCCCGACTTTTGGCTTCTTCGTGCAGGCAGTGACGATGGTGATGCCCAGAAGAACTGCGGACAAGATCATAAAGCTGCCAACCAACCAGAGCTGGTGTCTGCCCTCTGACAGCGGGAGAAACAGAAAGCGTGTCCCTCAGGTCAAAGCCGACCTGGTTTCCAGCAGCCGCGGGACAGAGTCCCCACAGACCAACCCCAGTTGCGCTGGTGAAGGACGTGAAAGCCCTCTGTCGGGGCACTTGCACCCTGCGTCCACGTGTGCCCACAGACACACGCACACGCACCCACTGGAACCCGTCGCCACAGGAAGGAGAACCCTTGCCATCATAGGACCGTGGACGCACTGGGGGACAGGGGATAGGTGAGACTACCCTCAGAGAGACATCCCCGAGGTGGCCCCATGTCACGTGGGGCCCAAACACCACCCAATGTTGCGAGACGTCCCCTCTGACCCTCCAGGGGTTCTGTCGACTTCACACCATGCAGGTGGGTCTTTGGGTCGTTGTGAGTTAGTTTCTGCGTCTGCTGTGACCTGACGACCCAACTCCTCCCGGGCCGGGGGACGTCCAGGGTCCCCAAACCACTTACTGAAAAGCTGTCCTTGTCATAGAGCGGTCAGGGCTCAGGGTCTGTTTGTTTAAAAATGTCCCCGAGTCCCTGAGCAGGAGAGTGAACACCACCACACGTGTCTGTCTGCACCTACATCTCAGTGTCCCTCGGCCACACAGAGAGGTGACGCCCTGGTATGTCCCACTGAGACCCAGGGGCTGGGGATGTGAGCATGAACGAGAGAAGCCGGGCACACAAGGCCACATGTCACTGGATTCTGTGTGTGTGACCCGTCCTGAACAGGGGGTCCGTCCCAGAAAGTAACTCAGGGTTGCTGGGGGCCGAGGGGGAGGGGGGCACTGCTGGTCCCAGGGCTGATGGGAAGGAGCGGGAACGGCACTGTCCCCGTCAGACGGCTCCCCCGGGTCACGGGGTCTGCTC